GTAAGTATAATTCGCTTCACGTTTATGTATGGAACGTTATTTATACTATCCAAAATTATTTCTAAAACAAAAACTAATGAATTATCATTCAGTAAACAACAGTTTTCATTTTTTTTTGTAAATATAGTGAACCCATTAAATTCTAAATGAGATATATCATCATTGCCTTGAACTGCTTTTTTAAAATGAATAATAGGATATGATTTTAAATAACATTTTTCAGGTGGAAGTTGATTTAATTCAAAAATTCGGTTAGAATATTCTTCTAATGGTTTGCCACAATTTTTTATCCGCTTTTTAATTTTTTGCATGTGATTTTTAAATTTAAAGCAACTAAAGGTATCTAAACAGCCAAGAGTTTTGACATCATTTGCAAGATGTTGTAAATTATGAACATTATGTGAAAGATATTCGAGTCCGAAAATATTTCTGTACTGTGAAATAAACCAAATTATTAAAGAATGTGCGAAATCATTAAGAACTAAACATTGTTCTGGATCCGCGAGTATACGAATAGCTATACTTAGTGATAAAAAATGATTATAATAATCTTGAGATACAAATGGCTTTAACAAAACTAAACCTAAATAAAGCACAAAAAGGCGAACTTCGGTAGCTTTCCAACTGTCAACATATGATAAATTTCTTGGCATTCTTGCAAATTCTTTAATTATATATTTTCTTGAGTCAATTAGATGTTTGTCAATTGAATCGATTGCAGCACTAGGTAATCTTACATTTTTTCTACCCCTAACATAAAATTGCAATAAACGACTTGTACCTAAACCAAAAAGATGCATATAATCTAGAGGAATTTGTAAAATCATATCTATAGGAAGATTTTCTAGAATTGAATCACCTACATGATGCTCTTCTTGACTACGAGTACGAAATGATTCGTTTGTTCTTAATGTAGAATTAATTTCCGGAAACACAACTCGATTACATATAAAATCTCCTTCTTGTGAGCATTTTGAACATGAAAAATAACCTGTGTGACCTTTCGTACAGGTGATCAGTGACTTAGCAGGAGCATCGCATAATATTGCATTTAATAGGACTTTACAATGATTGTTATCTAATGACACACCTTCTTGAAGAACAATTTGTGCTTCATTAACGAAAGGACGAAGAAAATCATTGACGTTATTTGGTTTTGACATTTCATGAAATATACCAACTGCAAAAGGCTCGGTATAAAAATCTTTAATTTCAATTGATGCAAGAATAGGCCAAAATTGGCTACCTGAACTTTTACTCAATGGTAAGCCATCGATATTAATATTTATTTTTACTTCACAAGGCACGGTTTTACAATATTTTGATATAGAACGTTTTATTCCCGAAGCTAATCTAAAATGAATGTATCTTCCACCACTAACAGAAACTATATTTTGAGAAATATTACGTGGTGTTTTCATTAAAGTTCTACACGTTTGAGGTAAATCATTATGACCATGTTTCCGCAGAATTAAAAGAAGTTTATCTGCAGTACCTTGAGGTATACAACATTCTGAAACTAAGATTTGCAAATCTTCTTGTAAACTAAAATTTTGTTCATTTTGTGAGATTTCATTATTAAAATCGATTGATTCAGTAGAAAAATCAGATAAAGAATCTTGATCATTATCTTGATATGCAATTGGAATGTCGAAGCTATTAGATGTTGAAGAATCATAATTATACCTTGATAAAATTGGGATATTATTGGATGAATCCAATGTGTTATTATTACTAAAATGGGTATTACTATCAGTTTTATTTGAAAATGTTGTGACCTCTGAATTAAAATCATTACACATCATTTCTACATTAGATTCAAAATTAGTTTCAGAATTAGTTTCAAAACATTTTTTAGGAATATTTGATGTAGTTTCAACCTTATCTAATTGAGAAATGTGAAATGAAATTAATTGGCTTTTACGCCTTTTTGATAAATGGTGATATGCTTTCGGCATGTTGAAATCTTGATTATTAAAATTAGAATAAACAATTAAGCTTTAATAATTAGAAAGATGATAAACATGATTAAGTATTACAAGAAATTCCCAAAATATTAGTATTTAAAAAGTAAAGAGTTTAGATAGACAGAAAGAATTAATATAAGAAAATGTATATATAAATAGGCAAATATATAAAAAACAAATATTGATGAAAATGTCTCATAAATTAAATACTTCTTTCAATACTAATTAAATGCAATAAATGATAATAAAAGTGGATATAGCGGATGGAAATGCAAATAAACTGGCAATAATATGTGTCATTGAGTAATTGAGAAATTGTTTGCAAAGCTAAAACGTTCAAAATTTAATATTAATTGAATGATTATGAAAGCTTCATGAAATAATTAAAGTACATAAAATGTGCTAGTTAATGATAAGGAGGACTACATACAAAACTTTGCCAATTAAATTAAATGAGTTACAACGTAATTGAAAGTATTAATTCTTGTACAAATAAAAATTGCAAAAAATTATCTCTCATAACCTATCATAACTTATTAAATTCTAAATAGTATTGTGATCAAATATAGTTTCCAATTAATAAATAATATTTATAACTTCCCGGCTTTCTGAACTTGTGATTCGATGAAGATCCAAAATCCA